TTTTTATTATAGTGCAAAACTCATGCAGGGAATTAAAATGAGATTAAGTCATCTTGATATTTCCTCCCAACTCTTTTATTGGTCAGTCACATTTATTGAGGCCCCACTGGGAGACAACAGTGTTGTGGGAACAGTGTACAAGTCCCAGCCATAGGGGAAAAGGGGCTGTGACTTACTCAAGTGTGGGAGTCTTGTATGGCTGGGCCTTTATTTTCTCTGCTCATGAGGTATTGTGAATAGGGGTAAATAGGATGATAAAGGGGCCAATTCTGTCTCCATTCATCTTTCTTTCTCTCCAGGTTGTTTGTTAGCTTTCTCCCTGAAAGCTCAGAGGCTGTCTGCAAGTATCTTGCCTCTGTTCTCATTTGTAATCCAAACCTCACTGAGCTGGACCTAAGTAAAAATCCCCTGGGGGACACTGGGGTGAAGTATCTTTGTGAGGGTCTCAGACATTCAAACTGCAAAGTGGAGAAACTAGAGTAAGTTTCTTAGAATTATCTCACATCATCTTATGACTCTTGAACTTGTTGAATGCCTGCTCTGTGTCAGGATCTATGCTTGGTGCTTGCTATTTCATCTAATTAACTCCTTACACTCACTACATAAGTTGAGTTTTCTTACCCTCATTGTGCAGATGAAGAAACTGAGGATCAGGTGGAAAAGTGACTTGTTTAAGGTCACACTGCTAAATAGTGGTAGTCAGTATGTGACTCCAAAAATCTGTCTCCAAATCCCATGCTTTTTCCAGTATACTATCATCCTGTGTGTTTACAGGAATGACACTAATTAAATATTAACCATATATAGACTACCCACTATGAACCTAGCACTGGGCTAGATGTGGATGGAGTTATTAGAAGGACTACAAATGACAAGGCTGCCCTTAAGTACACACAGATATGAAGCAGTTGAAGAGCAACCCAGTTCAATGTGTAATCAAGTGCCCGACACTGTGGAATCATTTAGAAATGCCAGATAAACTCGGGGAAAAGGGAAGAGGTCACTATGTCTTGGACACATCGGGAGAAGGTTCTGTGAAGGAGGTGGGCTGGGAGCTGGAACTTGAAGGCTGGCTAAGACTTAGCTAAATGGGGAGGATGGGAGACCATTCCCAGGAAGCTAAATGACAAGAGTGGCTAATATTTCTTTTTTTTCACTGGGTAGCTTGAGCACATGTTACCTCACAGATGCCAGCTGTGTGGAGCTCTCCTCTGTCTTGCAAGTGAGTCAGACTTTAAAAGAGCTGTTTGTGTTTACTAATGCCCTGGGAGACACAAGAGTACAGCATCTCTGTGAAGGTCTATAGCACGGGAAGGGTACGGTCGAGAATCTTGTCTAAGTGTCTACTTGTCTTTGTCCTTCTTATGGGCCTTGGCATTTGAGGTTCAGTGGAATTCCCTACTGCCATGGTTAATAGCCAGCTTGGTGTCCCCATCCCTCCAGGCTTTCTGAATGTTCCCTCTCTGCAGCTCGTTGTGAGTCCCTCATGCAAATCCTGAGCTCTACCCAAAGCCTGACAAGGCTGCTTCTAATTAATAATAAAATTGAGGATTTGGGACTGAAATTGCTGTGTGAAGGATTAAAACAGCCTGATCGTCAGTTAAAGGATCTGGCGTAAGTATCATGGACTATAGCCACAGGAAGAGTTTCCTGATGTTTGAGCAACTCTCTAAATTAAGTGAGTACTTTTTGGCTTGGTGATTGAATCTCCAAGGAAGCAATAAACGAAGAACTAAATAATTTAGGGAGAATAAATCTTCCCCTCTTCACAATCTCCGCTTGGCCCTGGCTCAAGGAGTTTGTTTTTTACATGATGCTTTGATTTTCTAATGTGTTTTTTTAGTGGGCAAACACAGTTCTTAAAGTGACCCAGTGCAGATGAAATGATGCCAACATTTCTCTACCTTACTTCTTGGCAGATTGTGGACCTGTAACCTGACGAGAGAGTGTTGTCAGGATTTGTGCAATGCACTCTATGCCAATGAACACCTGAGAGACCTTGACCCCAGTGACAATGCCTTAGGGGATGAGGGCATGCAGGTGCTGTGTGAAGGGTTGAAACAGCCTTTCTGCAAACTACAGACCTTGTGGTGAGTACACAGGGATTTTGTCTGCTGAGCTCTTGTTGCCAGGCTGTATATGAAATGGAGGGTCATTGTGGAACTTGAGATATAACTGATTTCTTTCTTGAATCCCTAATATCCCATAAGTTAGCAGAATGTCATCTCACAGATGTGTGCTATGGAGCCCTCGCCTGTGTCCTCAACAGAAACGAGAACCTAACATTGCTAGACTTAAGTGGAAATGACCTCAAGGATTTTGGAGCGCAAATGCTGTGTGATGCACTGATTCATCCAATGTGTAAACTACGGATGTTCTAGTAAGTTACTGTGTTGAGGGAAGTGAGAGCGAGGAGGTCAGGGCAGGCTTGTTGGGTTTGATCACAACTCATTGCAATGAGGAGAGAAGAAAAACTGAGCACAGACCATTCCTAAGCAAAATATCAAAATAAGTGAAATTACCAATAGGCCTCCTTCTTAGACACAGGGACAAGGAGAGAGGCACTGAAAAGGCAGCCCTGGATCTCAGTAGAAGAAGCAGCATGGTGTAGGAAAATGAGCACTGGATCTAGATTCTTTTAGGTCTGGCTTAACTACTAGGTGTAACATCTACTAGCTACATAACCATGCTTACATAACCTCCCTGAACTTTAGTATCCTTGTCTATAAAGTGGAGCTAATACTAGTACCTGCCTCCCTGGTGTCAGCATGGGACTGAGTGAAATGAGACGTTAATTATGTATGTACCTAATACAACCCTTAGCACATAGGAGGTTCTCCATAAATACCTTATTCTCCTAATACCTGCTAGAAGGCTTAATGTTTACAGTTTGAGAATCTTTGAGACTCAAGTGGATGAAGCTATAATGATGCAATTACATAAGTGGAGATCTTGACCCTTTCTGGTCGGTGTCCATATGCCAGCTCTGTAAGTTGGCATGACACACAAAGTAATTCTTAATTGGAATACTAATTGGAATACAGTTATGCTCTATTGGCAGCTAACCAGTGACCAAATGGTCATTTATTTATGATATTCAGAACTGAAACACATAATGGAAAATAAAGGCTGACTGTAAAAATTCCACATTCTAAAGCCAATTCGATGGATTGAAGTGTAAATGAAAACAGCCTAAAAGCCTGATTATAAGTCTGGCTGAAACAGAAGCTGGTTCTTTACTAGCAAAATGAAGTCTGCTAGTTTCAAAGACTTAAGAGTGGTGATTAATGCCCAGGAGGAGGATGATGAGCCTCAAGGATTTAGGGGCCTCCTGGGTGTCCTTCTTAGAGGTCCCTGAATCCTTGAGGCTTTAGAGGTGACTGGAATTTATATTGAGAATGGGTTGAAATAAACTCAATGATTAATCCTCATGTTTTTTTTTTATGTAGACTAATTTAATGTTGTAGTACTCTATGCTGTGTATGCTTCAGCAAAGGTTCTAAGTGACAGCAAGGAGAAATTATTTTGTGATGTCATGCCATTATTTATTTTTTTACTGTAAATTGTTATACCATTTCCTGTTTCTCTCACTCTCTGTCTTTTAACCAATGTACTTCCATTGTGTTTTCAGGCCAGCATTCAAAACCTTATGACTTGTCATTTGACAAGTTGATAGCAGTAATAACTCAGAATACAAATAAAGGACACACACAACACAGAAAATAGACACTATTCACTGACCTCAAATAAATTTGGAATGTTAGAATGTATATAAGACCAACAACACTGAAATCAATAGAAATATATAATTACCCAAGTAAGGTGATAGGAAACTATGGATCATTTAATGTGATGATGGGCTAGAGAAGAAGTAAATCTAAGAAAGCCTCCTAAAAGAGAGAGAATCTTCTCTGGAAATTAGGCTGGATGAAGATGATTTTCTTAGGGCTGATTGAGTGTGGGGTCTGAATCTTATTCCTCATTGTACTTTACCCTGTAAACTTCCTGGCTCAGTGCTTTACATATAGTAAATGTATATAAGATACTAGTTAGTAATTTAGAGCATCCAGGGGCAAGGCAAGGAGTGAGTAATGATTTGTTTCATAAACATTAGGTTTCTAGACATTCAGAAGATCAAGGGTAAAAAGACTGTGGCCTCAGAATGACAAAGCTCACCTTCATTCATTCTACAAGCACTTGCTGGACATCTGCTGTGTGCTAGGCAAATGTTCCAGGTGCTGGGAGACAAGATTGAATAAGACATGAGACATGATCCATGCTGTACAGGGGCCAGTGGGCCTAGTGGTAGAGACAGGCACATAAAATGACAAATGCAATCACGAGATCTTAAGGGAGTCATGGCAGGAAACGACTCACATAGCCAGAAAGGGTCAGAGAAAGCTTCTTGGAGTAAGGGCCATCTGAATTGAGTGTCAGGACTATATCCAGGGGACATGGGATAAGGATGCAGAAGGGTTGTGCAGACTCAAGAGATTGCATGAGCAAAGATAGCCAGACAATAAGCAACATGGTTTATGGAACTTGATGGGGGTAGGGGTGGGAAATCTCCAGTAAGTTTGCTATAGTTGGAGCATAAAGTGCATAGCAGAATGTGTCAGGACATGAGATTGAGGGGGCATGCAAGGTCTTGTATGCCATATGTGATTAGTAAAACCTGTTAGTAGAATTCTGGGTGCAAATTCAGTCATCACTCTCTCACATACTCCAGTAATAGTTCATCTTGGGGATTCTCCTCACCTTTTCAAAATTGGTCCCAAAGATAGAGAAGTTTGCTTCTGAAGCTGACCAGAGAATCAGTCTACTGTGGCTGCTATTTCTCACTGCTACATGGGGCTGATCTTGAGAACTAATCCTACCCAATCCCATAGAAACTTGGTGACTGGATGGTGATGCCCTGGCTGGTCTAAATCCCTGTGAGCCCTGCATTGCCATTATACCTGGGCTGCGAGGTTACAGATATCTTAGTCTATAACCAGATGTGCAGCCATTATTCTCTAAAGTATCATTTGTGTCAGGTGGCTGGATCTATAGGAGCTTCTTGAATCAGCCATAGATATATATTTATGTGTGAAACCTGCCCTTACCCACAGAGATGTAGGCACTTGAGGTGAGTGAGGGGCCCTTCTTAAGCCTTCATCTTCAGGATAGTTTTAGAGGCATTGATTCCTTTCCCAGGCACCAAGGATAAAATTCCCTAGCTCACCCTGATACATGTCCTTGTTCTAAATTTGGAAAGGGGTTGAAAGTAACTGGTCTCTTAACACCCGGAAGACCTCTGTGCTTCATAAACATATTGGCCCACTTCTTTCTCAGAAGAAAGTTCTACAAATCAAGAGGTAAGACAGCTTTTGATAAGTCACTGAAAAAATTCTAAAGGTCGTGTTATACTTCCATGACATTAAATGTCTACTTACCCTACAATCGAATAACTAGCACGGCTAGTCATTTCACTTGGCTAGATAAAGATTAGCTTCCGTCCATTAAAAACTAAAAGCAGTACGTCACTACGCATTTCAAAGAGCCTGTACCTTCTTTTGTAATCAGTAGGTTTTAATCAGGGACATACATGTGGAGTTCAAAGTGTCTGTAGGACATTGGGAGAAGTTTTCTAGTAGGTAGACAGTTGGATATAGGAGTGCGCCCTGAGATGATAGCTAAAGCTGTGACAATGGATGAGATTCTCTAGGGAGAATGAGAAGAGAGGAGACTCTGAGGGACATCTCTGGGGAATTAGTCCTGGGCAATACCATCTTCAAAGAGGTAGGTTTGGAAAGGAAAACCCATGGAGAAAAACAGGAAAGAAAATTGTCCTAGAAGCTATGGGGAAAATGAGTTTCAAGGAAGAAGTGCTCAGCACTATCAAAGGCAGCAGAGAGGTCCAAATGGATGAGTACTGAAAAGTGTTCATTGGATTTAGCAATTAGGGGGCCATAGGTGGCCACGTCAAGGGCTTTAGTGGTGTAGTGGGACTGGAAACCAGATTGCAATGATTTGAAGAGATGGGAGATGAGGAAATGGAGAAGGAGCAGAGACTACTTTTTCAAAAAGTTTGTGAAAAGAAGAGATGAGGGGTAGTAGCTGGGAGGGAGGTTATTGGACTGCAGGAAGGAGGGAGTTGTTCTTTTTTTTTCTTGCCTTGTTTTAGGATAGTTGAATTTGTTGGCTGCGAGGAAGGAGCCTATGGAGAGGGAGAGGTTACAGATACAGGAGCAGGAACTAATTGGCTAATGGAGCAGGGTCTTGGACAGGCAAGGAGGGACAGGAATGAGAATCCAAGAAGAAGTTAAGCACTTTCTCTTTTGAGACACAAGAAAGGAGCCGAGGCTGAGAGAAGAGGTTGATAGCCAAGTGGGTGAAGCAACAGAGTGGTGACAGGGAGCAAGTGTGAATGGAAATCGTATCTTTTAGAATAGGAAAGCTGCTGAAGGTATCTGTTGGCTTGACTTGACACAAGATTCTTTTCATTTTTCATAGCATTGACATGGATCATTTACATGAAGAAACATTCAGAGAAATTGAAGCTTTAAAAGTGAGCAAGCCTGGAATCACCTGGTAGTTTCCTAGGAGAGCCCCCAAATCAGATGCATATAGACCCCCTCCATCTGATGCTATCTTTAACAATTGTTCAGTATTCTTGTTTTAAACCTGTTAACCTTTGCTGAGGATGCTAGTGTGAAATAAGCAGCAGTGCTTCCTATTTCTTATGTAGAACCATCCACTAAGTAGTATATAAAAGTCAGAAAAACCTTAGCTCAAATGTCTTCAGCACTAATACCTTACATTCATATATTATATTACAATGTTTACTATGTTTTCACAAAAACCCTGGAAGCTCAGATGAAACTCAGAGAGGATGTGACTAGCTTCAGGTCACACAGCTCATTAGTGGGGGAGTTGGGACTGGAATATCCATGTTTCCAAATATCCAGACCAGGGAGGAAAACAATAGAAAAAGACATGAATGAGTCCACTTAAAGAAACATGACACTCGAAATGAATAAAGGACAAGAGGATATACAAACACATGTTATATCTTATGGTGCTGATTTTAAATAAAACTGTAATTCGCAAAGGAAAGAGGGAAGAATGAGTTCATAGAGAAAGGCTTTATGGAAGTTAGATATGATATGGGCCTTGAGAATCAGTAGGATTGACATGAGGGAGATACACTGGCCAGTTGCTGTAAGACTGCAGGCAATAGGGCCGTGTTTGTGAGAAGCTCACCAAAGCCACCTAGGGAGAGAGAAATGTTTGCATTAGAGTTTCTTGAGCTGCCATAGTATCCATATCTTAGGTTCCTGAGGGTGCTTTCCAGGTCCCAGGCTCAACTCCCTTTTCTGAACTTTTAATACCTCCCCTATGTGTTCGTTCTTGTTCATGGACTCCTCTATGATCAAGCCACTCCTCATCTCTGACGTCATGTTTTGTAGCTTAGCATGGATCCTGCACAACCTCATGTTTCTATCTCTGCCTAGCTTGCACAAAAACACTAGATAAGACAAGTAGAGAAAAGGAATGCCAGGCAAGTAAAATAGCACAAAGTTCATGAAATAGGAGAGAATGTGTTGTGGGATTGACAGAAAAGTAGGCTTACCTGATTAAACTGTAGTCGTCTCCGGAAGCTACTTGACTAGCTGTGTGACCCTGATTGAGTCACTTGGATTCTTGGAGCCTCAGTTTTCTCAGGTATAAAATGGCATTAACCTTGCAAGGCTGTTGTTTCCAAAGCGGTGCCTACCCCACAGTGGGTACAAATTAATGGTAGCTGTTTATATGAGTGTGTACCTGTAATATAACCTAGCTGTGTAGTCTTTGAGCTGCCACATTTTTTTGCTGTGTAGTTAGTATGAAATGCGCATTTGAACTAAGTGTGTGTGCTGGAAGCAGTGACTCTAGTTGAGGAAGAGACACAGAGTGGGAAGTTATTGCAAGTAAGAGGTCCAGTTTCTCCATGTCTTTATTATCATGAGTTGTTCCCTACTACCCTGGGAGATAACTCTTAAGCAGGAGACCAAGCCTAGCATGAGAAGAATGGTCAAGATAGCAGTTTGTTTCCAGTTTTCTCAAGTTCTTCTTCTCTTTAGTTATTTAACCCTTACTTATTGAGCATTTATTATGTGCTGGGTTTTATGCTAAATGTTGGCCTTACAGAGATGAATATACTTTTTCCTATGCATTTCTCTTACCATGTTCTCTGACTGCCCTGGTTCCTCTATCAGTCTAATAAACATCTGATAAAACTCAGTCACATTAAGAACTCAAAAATATAATGTTAAATGAAAAATTGCTGAACTGTATGTGTATATCCAGTTTGTATTCAAAAGATAAATATACATGTGTATGTTTGTGTTCAGAATATGTATGGAAGGATATATACACAGTTGGTAAATGGGAGTTAACGCTGGCAAGAGGAATTTTGCAAGCAAGAGCAGTGGGAGAAGAAGAAAGGAACTTCTCATTTTCATCTATAGCCCTCTATTCTACTTGATGTTTTAACATGTGCATGTATTACTTTTATAATTAATAAACTTGATGTTAAAAAATAAAATCATTTATACTGGGAAGTTATTTCTTCTTTTAAAACATGATGATTTAGAGGAAATATAGGGCAGGCATTTATAAACATGACATAAAAAACCAAAGGAAAAGAATGAAGTATTTGACATCAAAATTTTAAATATCTTTATGAAAAAAATGCACCATAAATAAAATTAAAAGGCTAGTGATGAACTGGAAGAATATATTTGACACATAAATAACGACAAGGCTAATGTCCATAATATAAGTAACAAATCAGTATAAAAATAAAACATGGAGGTTTTCTATTTCCAGCAATGATGAAATGGATTTACCCTTCCACATTAACAACTCAAAAAACGGGCAAAATATATGAAATAACAGTTTCTGGACATTGGATAACAGGCAGAGTTTGGGACAAATAAAAAAAAATACAAAGATGGTAATTATAATCAGAAACGTATCAGTAGTAACTTATTGAAGTTAGCGGTCTCAGAGCAAAACATACACCATGTTAACATTAATTTTTAAAAAGCAGGAGTGACTATTATCAGAAGAAGTAGATTGCAAAGCAAAGAATATTACCAGAGAAAAGAGGATCATTTCATAATAATAAAGTTAATTCATCATGAGGATGTAGCAATCCTAAATACTTGTTCACCAAAAAAACAAATTCAAAATACATGAAGCAAAAAATGACTGAACAAGGAGAAATCGACAAATCCACAGTTTCAGTCAGAGACTTCAACACCTTTCTCAGTAATTGATAGATCAAAGAGACAGAAAATAAGACTATAGAAGAGTTGAAGAACACAAATAATAAATTTGGCATACTCGATATATATACAACACTCAACCCAACAACAGAAAACATTCTTTACATGTGCACATTGAACATTTACCAAAAGAGACCATATCTGGGTCATGTAACAAATATCAATAAAGTTAAATGATTCAAGTCATACAAAGTATGTTCTCTAACCACAAGGGAGTTAAATTAAAAATCAGTAAAAGATATATGAAAAAATCCTCCAAATATTTGAAAAATAACACACTTCTAAATAATCCATGGTTCAAGAGTAAGTCTCAAAAGAAATTAGAAAATATTTTAAACAGTGAAAATGAAAACATGAGACATACAAACTTGTGGGTTATAGCTAATGCACTCCTTAGAGGGAAATTTATAGCACTAAAACAGCTATATTAGGGGGAAAAAAAGGTCTTAAATCAATTCTCAGCTTCCTCAATGAGAAATTAGAAAAAGGTCATGTTTAATTCAATAACAGAAAAAAGGAAATAATAAAAAGTGGAATACATACTGTATGATTCCATTTTTGTAAAATTCTAGAAAATTCAAAGCATTCCATAGTGACAGCAAGTTAGTGGTTCCCTAGTGACAGTGTTGGAGAGAAAGAGATGCATTTATAAAAGGGTACAAGAAAATATTTGGGGTTGGTGGACATGCTCATTATCTTGTTTGTGGTAATGATTTCAGTCAAAACTCATCAACTGCTCTTTAAATATGTCTAGCTTATTGCATGTGAATTATACCTCAAAAGATCTGTAAACACATGCACACACACACATCTGAAAGAATTATTTAAGAAACAGTTGTCTAACCTCTGTAACTCCATATCCTACACATCAGGAATCCGGGGTTCAAAGAGGTCAAGGTCACTCAGCCAGTCATAGTAAGACTGGGATTAGAACAAATATCCTTATTCCTGGTCTTTCTCTTCTTAGTATACCAAAGGTAAAGCTTAGATCAAAAGAATAGATTGCAGACGGTGGGTTTTCAATTTTTTTGTGGCATACCAGTAGGAAAGAGACGTGTGATAAAAAGTTGTGACTTTTCCAGGATGCTTTAATGATGTGCTGGAACTGCCTCATATTGATTTGTGAAATTTGATGATTAAATTTTAAGGAATTTTGTAAGTCAGTTGTTAAAGCCATTATTAAAATTAAATGATAAAACTTGCACCCATAGACTGGTAGCTGATTTCTCAAAAGAAACTATGCAAGACAGAAGGGCTTGGCACAAAATATTCCAAGTGATGAAAACCTGGGACCTACAACCAAGAATATTTTATCCAGCAAAGCTATCATTTAGAGTCTAAGGACAGATAAAGAGCTTCCCAGACAAAAATAAGCTAAGGGAATTTATCACCACCAAGCCAGTGTTACAGGAAATGTTGGAGGGACTTCTTTAAGAAGAAAAAACATGAATAAAGAATGATAATAACTACATTCCTATCAACAAGTACTTCAAATGGAAAAGAATTCAGTGCTCCAACCAAAAGATAAAGTGGTTGAATGGATAAGAAACCAAGACCCCTACATATGCTGCCTACGACAGATTTACTTCAGATTAAAATACACACAGAGACTAAAAGGAAGGGGATGGAAAAAGGTACTGCCTTGATGGACCTAGAAGGTATTGCGCTGAATGAAATGGGTCAGAGAAAGACAAATATCGCATGATTTCACGTACATGTGGAATCTAAAGAACAAAATCAATAATAACCACAAAAGCAGAAATAAACTCATAAATACAGAGAACATTTAGAGGGATACTATATGGGAAGGGGTTGAGGGGATGAAAAAAAGGGCAAAGGGATTAAGAGGTACAAATGGATAGTTGCAGAATAGACATGGAGATGTAGAGTAGCTTGGGGAAGATGGTTAATATATATGTATGAGAGAAGAGGTGTACTAGATTTAGTGAGGTGATCGCTTTGCAAGTTATGTGGATCTGTGATCACTATGCTGTACAACTGAAACTGCTGTATTACTGTATGCCAACTATAATTGAAAAAAAAAACACATTGAATTGTACAATGTAAATATGAGCAACTAATTGTCTATTGTGTTTCAATAAAGCCAGAAAAAAAAGAGGATCAAAAGAGATACTATCAATGAGAGTGATAATGAGGATGAATGCTAAAGAGGGTAGCTGCAGCTTTGAGGTGTTTATTGTAGTTTTGAGCACTTTGAGAATATCAAAGGAGTTTACTGGGAAAGACCTTTATGATCCACTTCAATAACCTTTTCTTCTGTTCAAAGCTCACTTCACTTGAAGGCTGAGTAACCAGTTTCCTGTGTAGTATGGGAAGGTTTTCTCTGCCCAAAGGCCTGCCCCCTCCTTCTGTTTACCCCACCCAGACCTACAATTTTCACAAGTCAATCTCTATTATGAGTTAAGGTGCTCAAAAGTGCTGTGCAGTCAGGAAACAGGAAACTATTAGCAGCCAATTAACATCTGACTCCAGATTAGTAAATTAGTTCCTGATTGATTCCCAAGAGCCTAGAACGCACAGCAAGTGAGCTTTTGTGGTGAGAAGAGGAGAGTAGAAAGTTTCAGAGTATTGGCAGACAACATGGCAGGCCTGGTCTGGCCACATCAGTAAGAGCCTAAATTGAAGAGAGGTCATGACCTGGACATGGAAGAGGGACACCACAAACAAATGTCACCCACTTCTCACTTTTATTGGGTGATTCGGTTTCTCTTATCCACTCGTCTTTTGCTTTTCCAGCTCTAGAAATCTTCCTTGAAAGAGTTCCATCCCTTAGTATGGATATACCACATTCCCTCTCACCAAGCCGCTCATTAATTGTCAACAGAATGGGGAGGGCAGGGGAGATAGGTCTCCTTTTCCAAAAGAAACATAGTAATAGTAGCAGCAGCAGCAGTAGCAGCAGCAGCAGCAGCAATTATTACTGTTCAGGTGCTTAGTTGTGACAGGCATTGTACTTTACTATAATTTCTCATTTAATTCCATGAAGTAGATATTAATTTTCTTCATGGTATACATGCGATGCAGATTTGTTAAGTAATTTGCCAAAGGTTACACAGGTAGTAAATGGCAAAGCCAAAATTCAAACCCGTCTAACCTGAAAACCTGTGCTCTTAACAACCATACTTCTTCATGTAGACTCTGACTAGAGTTGAAGGAAGAAGGAAGTAGATATAAAAGAAGAATTATTTCATTCAACAAATGTGTATGCACTTTCTACTATGTGCTGGGCCTATGGGGTATAAAAAGTATGCACAGTCCTTGCCCTGAACCTTATTACAACTGAACAGAAATGATATGTCCAATGTTCTAATAGCTGTAACAGAAGGCAGAGTTAAATTATGACCATAGCATAATAATAAGAGCTACCGGTTATTGAGAGCATTCTATGTATCAGGCACTTTGCTAATACATTCTACATATATTTGATCTTCGTGACAACTTTGAGACTAATATTGCATTTTACAGATGAGGAAACAAAGCTAGTAGAGGTTTCATTAACTTCTGTGGCTCCAAATAATGTGTTACTGGGCTCTTTTTGAGTGAACTAAAGGTATCTGCTCCCACCTCAGAGCCTATGAAATGGAGCTACCAGCTACTTCAAGATCACATGTACCTCAGCCAATACCTGGTCTGCAACAGCTTGACACTATACTTTCATTGTATTTGGAAACTTGAGAACAATGAAGTCCACCAGAGTCTCATCATTGGACTCCACCACAAATGTACCCTCCACCCTTTTACAAAATACACTTATTCATTATGACTACTAAGTGCCACTGAACTGTACAAAATGGTTAAAATGGTACATTTTACTTTATGTATATTTTGCCACAATAAAAAAAATATATATATTGATTACACAAAATGTTCACTTTTATACAAAGTTTAATGTACATCTCATGGTTGTAGAAGTTCACGTTCTTGCAAAAAAGGTCCATAAGCTAAATACTCTTATTATAGAGTGCATAATCAGGGCAATAACACCTTTTTCCAAGAGACCAGCTCTGCCACCACCTCAGCAGTTTTGGAGATTGCCTGGCTACAGTCATCATCCACATTCTCATACTATTTTTTTCCTCTTCTCCATAGCCCTTTTTCCCATGACTCCCCTCACAAATATTTCCACTGTGTCCCCCAGATACTTTGCCAAGTGATAACAAAGCTCTCCTACATGTTCCTCCTTGTCGCCGAATGCTTCTTGCTC